AAGCCCCTGGAGGCCCAGGGGACTTAGTAAGTCGGTTATAAGTAGAGTTATAAGTCCACTAAATGGAGTTACCCCAATTATAACTCTACTTATAACCGACTTACTAAGTCCCCTGGGCCTCCAAGTGGTTCAAAACTCATCCAATGCACTGTCTCAGCCGGCTTAGTAGGGTTTAGGGTTTAGGGGTGTAGGGTTGAGGGTCCAACCTTACTGTTGCAATGCCGAAGGCACAATTCCAAAAAGAAAATCAAATCCAAGATGCATGATGTGCTCCGCGAACTTCTCGTCGCTCCAGGCGTCCGACGTTCCTGTCGTCGCCTCTCCGCACCACGAAATGACTGCCCAAAAAGGACTAAGCTTCGGTGAGGTCTCCGCCATGTAGACTTCAACAACGGAGTTTCCACTCGATACAGCTTCATGGAGTGCAAAGGATTCTCTTAACGGGTGCGCTCTGGTGTGTTTCGATTCGGGTCCTGGCTGCCTCGTGGCTGACGTTGCGTCGAACATCGTCGGACCGATGCGTCTTCAAGAACAAGTGCCACAGCCTCAGAGACTCGGCTTCACGGCTTTAGGGTTTAGGGAGTTTAGGCTTCAAGGTTGTGAGCTCATCCTCTGCTCAAAGCTTGACAGCTTGATCGCGAAACAAGTTGAACCAGCACGCAGTGCAGCTACGAGCCCAGCGTTCAGAAAGCGTCGGATGCATAACTCATGGGTCCAGCCAGGTCTGCATTTCCACTGCTTTGGGAGTTGACAATTGAGGCTAAGAAAATGCAACCCACCACACATGAGCGAGAACTCGGGATTGTGCAATACACGACTTCTGATACTTCCCCATGACCGCCTGACGGCAAAAACATTGATCATGCATGCCGCTAGGTACGCTTGGCGTACATGCTGAAGCGACACCGGGGCTTCTTTGTTGCCGCCCTCGGCAATGATTCTCGTGATGCTTCCGATGCGTTGCTCAATGACGCTCACGATGCTTCCGATTGTTTGCTTCACTTTTGAGCCGCCCTCGGCAATTCGGTTCCGGCTGTGTCAATGATGCTGATGATGCTTCCGGTTGTTTGCTTTGCTTTGGTGCCGCCCGCGGCGATGATGCTCATGACGCTTCCGACTTTCTTTGCGTTGGTGCCGCCCGCGGCAATGATTACACATCCCAGTCTTCGCGGAGTCAAAGTTTAGGGAGTTTCGAGTTTGGAGAATCTAGGCTTCTTGTGCACTTTAGATCCAAAGGCCTTACACCTTCACTCCCAACTATGCCAGGACAGCTTGATGCCAGGCTGCTTTACTTCTCCACTGAAATGGACAATGCCGATGTCCTCCCATCACACTCCACGGATCTGTGAGATTGCATAGAAAGCATGACGATAAATGCATCGTGTTGAAAAAATTGAAAGCCAGTCGTTTACCGCGAAGTGCGATCAAGCATCTCTGATGCTCCGCTACCGGGTCACTGCACTCCCGGACAGGGACAGTCTCTGGGTCTGTCAGGTCTGTACACATGGCTGCCCGGTGCACAGCAAGGGCCGGGAACGAAGGCCAAGTGCAAACCAAATCTTCAAGGAGACTTATTTCGACTTGTGTGTTGGGTGCTGCCTTTTGGGGCTCTGAAAGCCCTGAACCCAAAGCCCCTAAACCCTAAACTCCGAAGGTCGAAACCCCTAAGACTCTAAACAGCCACCTCCAGGCCCATGCGCATCCGCTGCGGCATCCAGTCAAGATCGGCCTGGCTAAACTCCTGCGGAGAGGCGCGAGCGCGAGCCGGATGGCTTCAGAAGCTCCGGGCCTAGGGCTTTTTTGGTGACTCGGGGCTTAGGGTTTAG